ATTGATAGAAGTGCAAAGGATGCAGAGGTTGTACAGACTATGCTTGCTGCCTACACGTGTTGAATTTGCAAATTGCAACATTGGCAGACCGCGTGGCGACCGAGATCGCATGAGGCTAAGGCCTAAAGCAAATGCAGGAACAAAAGTGGAACTCGCCTGCAGACTATTCACATGCAGTTTGTAAAACTCAAACAATGATCTCCTTAGGAAATTTTTGGAGAACGACTATAAACCTACATCACAAATACTTGCTTTAACAGGCTTCTTTGCACGAATGGAATTCGAAATGAAACATGCCTTGCTGTTCATTGACATTTGAATAAACAAACTGATTGTGAGCTGGCATCCTAAGGATATAGAGAAATTTATAGATACCAGTGCGTCACCTCTGCTTCAGCCTCTAGAGAGGCTTGCACTGACTGTACTATCTATGTGCCTTACTGATTCTCTTGAAATCGGCCCAAATCAATCGTTTGGTGCGCAATATCTGAGGGTCCACTCAACAAATCTACTCGTTTGCATGTTAGACTTTCATAAAGGTAGCATGCGCTATGCAAAATTAGGGCTTAAAACGCTGGCTGGAACACGCTCTGCGAATTTCGTAACAGACGGACACACACATACCCTGCACACCCTGCACAACCTGCACAACCTGCACACCCTGCACAATCTGTACACCACACCCTGCACACCGTGAACACCCTGTACACCCTGCACGCCCTGCACACCCTGCACACCCTGCACACCTTGAACACCCTGCACACCCTGCTCACCGTGAACACCCTGTACACCCTGCACGCCCTGCACACCCTGCACACCCTGCACACCCTGCACACCTTGAACACCCTGCACACCCTGCTCACCGTGAACACCCTGCACACCCTGCACACCCTGCACAACGTGCACAAACATACAAATTTTCTGCTTTATATATATAGAGATTAATTTATCCTCGTAGCATTCATTTGGAGAGCAGAAAGTGAGGACACAAAATCAGTTGATTTTTGAAGTACATAAAATCCCTCATAGCTCGCGGCACAGAAGACCTAGAAAAAAGTCGACAGTCTACGTCGATTCTTCATGATCTCAGCTTTCGAACGGTATAAAGTTTGTTAAGGCTTTTTTGCTTCCCGGCTCTAAAAATCATTTGCTCCGGTGACCGATAAAAGCCAATACATTGTATAGGTCGTTCCGAAAGTTCTTGCGCACGATTTTCAAAAATTCATAACTTCTGATTTTTCCAACCGATTTGATTGCTTCTATTTTCGTATGAAACAGTAAGTCATGCTTTTTATAATGACATCTTATCTGCTTACTAATGGTCATCTGTTGCATAGATAGGAGCGATAGAAGAGAATTGGTCAAAATTTGAATTTTCTGTGTAGGGTCATGAAAAATCGGAGGTTTGCAACAAAAATCGGAGCAGTCAGTATTGTAGGTTCTTTCACCAGCTCTTTCTAACAGTGCAAAGTTTGCGCCGATTGAGCGTCTCTATGAATTGTCATGATTTTCGAGCAAGCGATACAAAAGGGCGAATTTGGTTTATTTTGGCATTTTTCAGGAAAATCATAACTTTCCATAGAAACGCTCAATCGGCGCAAACTTTGCACTGTTAGAAAGAGCTGGTGAAAGATCCTAAACCTACAATACTGACTGCTCCGATTTTTGTTGCAAGTCTCCGATTTTTTATGACCCTACACTGAAAATCCAAATTTTGACCATTTTTCTTCTATCGCTCCTATCTATGCAACAGATGACCATTACTAAGCAGCTGGGATCTCCTTATGAAGAGCATGACTTACCCTTTCACATGAAAGTGAAAGCAGTAAAATTGGTTGGAAAAATAAGAAGTTTGAATTTTTGAAAATCGTGCGCAAAAACTTTCGGGACGACCTAATAAGAGCGAGGTGCAGCAAGTTAATAGTAAAAAATGTGCTGTGGATTGACATCGTTATCAGCACTAACGGGAACGTGAGCGAACGCGTCTATTCAGGCGTGCTTATCGTTTTATATGTTTATGTTTTTGGTAAAAAAAGCGCTTTTGATTGACAGTTATGCCATCATTATTAGCAGCACACACTCAAAAAACTATGGGAGATTGGTGCATTTTCACACCTTCGTACAAAAATCCCCCCATTTCTGGAATTTATACTCTGTAAACCTCGTGCTGAAGAAGGTCATCGTGAAAACGCTCTAGACTCACCTTACCTAATTTGTAGAGAATGGTTGGTTTCAATGAATCAAAAACTTTAAGACATTCAGAAAAATAACATGTTATCAAAATATCCCTCAATGTTTTGGAAAGGTTGGCAGTTTGAGGAGGAAACGGCAGGCAGAATACTTTACAAAATCGAAGATGACTCGCATGTGTTCCAGTTCAACAGCGAGGCAGAAGGAGAATCTTACGCCGACGAAAATATTGTCGACATTGATACAGAGTTGACAATTGAGCGAAACTCTCTGATTTCCTACATAAGGAATCCAAGCAGATTGCTTAGTTTCAATGAGGAAATGTCCAGGAAGTCCATTGCTGATCTTCAGGTTGCTGAAGATTTCAAGGCTGCTAAATTCAAAAACATGGATATGAACAAAAGGAAGGTGTTAGTACAAAGCATAGCTACTGCTCTTAGATCCCGACTGGAGTGCGAACCCAACTCTGTGCTTTATGCTTTTGGAAGTTATTCGCTTTGCGACATTATGACCTATGATATTGAAAAAAAACCAGCGCGCAGCATAGTATCTACTTTTTTCGGCTATTCCCCAGATGCTGTTAAAGAAGAAGTTGAGCAGCTTTCTCATCAGCTAAAAGGAAGTATGCCAGAGGAGGTGAAGCAAGAGTTCGACAAGGCCCGAAAAAGTAGCAATATTTCCTTCCCGTGTTGCGAAAGCATAGATCTGGCCCTTTCCCCATTACTTACCGCAAAAATCTGATGGACTTACTAGCAAAGCTAGTTTCCATTCCGACTAGCACGGCAGAGGTGGAGAGAGTATTTTCTATCTACTCTGTTATCAGAACACAACGCAGAAGTCGCACAACGGTGGAGCATTTAAGCAATTACTTAAGGTTTGTCAAATTTCTACTAAACATATTGTTATCTAAAAACTTCGTTCAAAGGATTGCTATAAGTGGTCCAGACAGGATGTCACCGTATGACTTCTTGAAATATCCCAAAAAGATGGTATGAAGAAACTGGTCACCTACCTGCTGACTTTCCTGGTGCTACCAGAGGAGAAAAAAATCACAAAAGCGCTTAGAGAAGAAGAACGTTCCAAATCCATTTTCGACTTAGAACGCTTTTTCACGCAATTCTACTTCTACTCCGATGACCTTTTGGAGGAAGAAGAAGATTTTTTAGGCAGCGAACTTGTTGTCTCTGGCGTTAGCGACAGTGATATTGTTGACGATGATGTGCAGGAATTGAAGTTGTTCCTAACTTGTACATCTTTTGGGATAAACCTTATTGCTTTCGTTTTTTGTTGATGCAATGAAACAAGGGCACAGATCTTTATGAAGTCAATTTTTTTAAAATTTTTTAATTTCTTTTAAAATTTTAAAATTTTTTTAAAATTTGTGCCTAAATGAGGTACAAAGTAGAGCTCTTCATACCACGCTTTTTTACCTTTTCTCTCTTCCTCCCCCCCCCAGGTTCACATACCCCCTTCACCTGGAAGGTCGGAAACAACCGAGACCCCCTTCACCTGGGGAGAGAGCCCGGCTCCCCCTATCGCACCTATGCTTTCCATAATGATGTCTGGTTCTCACTTAAAATAAAAATTCGTAGTCGCTTTCACACAGTCTACTCTCATATCAGGTATTTATGAGTATGGAATACTACAAAGAGGTCAAAGTGAAAGTGCACGCTATTCTTCTAGTAACAGCTACGACGGTGATTGTGAAAACGAGGCTGGAATATGAGGGTTTCTAAGCTTAACACATGTTAAAGATTAAGGCAGAAACGTGGTTGTCAAAGCACGCTGCTGCCTCATCATAAGAGATGTGCACAAAGTAAAACGAGCAATTTTTGTAAGAGATGCTGTCAGGTTTCTAAGAGTTTTTATGAACACATTTTTGCTGTGGTAGTACCCTCCATTTTGTTATAACAGCCACGAATCTCAAATCATTCATTGATACTCACAGCATGCCTTAGTCGACTGCTTCACAAACTTCTGCTTCGTCATGTTAGTCAAGTACTTGAAGCCCCTCGAAAGCTACACCTAATCATGTCTGAAAAGATGAACTGCCGTGACATTGACCCAAGCTCTGTGAAGGCTGCAACATTAGTACAGAAAGTAAAGGTTTCAAATTTCAAAGTAAAGGTTTCCGATGCAGGCTATATAAACTTACACCAAAAATTTAGGGGGACACATGTTACCCTCTATTTCATTGAGAGTGGCGGGTGGAGGACGGGTTGATCGCTAATCAATCCTGAGAAAGTGATTAGAGAGTACGCTTGCGAGAAAACCGTAGAGCTCTGAGCCTCACCCACCACCCGCCAATCCCAATGATACAGAGGGTACTTCGCTGACAGTGGACAGTGCACATCTTCTACATAAAAATGAATTTCTTAATTTTTCTATAGGTACGTAAGTTCGTAATAGAGACTTTCTTATCTCAACCGATCCTGAGCAAACTTTGCAAAGAAGCACTCCAGAGCCGCACGGATGTCACAAGCTAATTTTCGCCATCAATCGGCATCGCGGTTTGTTTTTTTTTGGCAAATTTGAGGCTATGGGGCTGTGGGCTTGCTATGGAGGAAGGTGAGCATGCTGATTACGAGCACAATATCTTTTCAATATCGTCGATCGTCTCTATCGATTTCATCGATTTTTGTGGGCGTTGAGCCAGAGTATGAGGATTGAAATCAACTTTGGTGTCTGTATATTATTCACTAAGATCAACAAATATCTTTACTTACATAATGTTTTGAACTGTCGTTTCATGGAACAGCTCACTAGAGAAGTTTATAAACATTTATGTACATCGAACGAGGTGAACACAAACCGTAATGAGATCTACCCTAAGCTATTCTGCTGGAGCGATACCGCAAACTCCTTGGGACGTTCTCCGCCCGTCGTCTACTCACTCCGGCTCTTCTGCTGTCTCGATGTCTCAAAGGTCGCGACATCATGCGAATAGCTTGCGAATCAATCCTCTTTGATGATTTTGAATGGATAGGTTGGGACAGAATGAATGATGGGCTGCCTCTAGCCGGCATTGTCCGGATGCTATTTTGAGCTAAGGGTACGCGCATACTTCGAAATTGTACATTATTTGCCGAAATTATCCTAGTAATATTGTTCCTTCTTGACAATATGGCGCTTCTCGGATCTGTCTGCATGACGGGCATGCTACGACGTTTTGTCAGCTCTTCGGCATCTCTTGCTCGAGCTTCGTCTTCATAATCGAGCAATTCATTGCTATGTCTTCCCCTACGGAATGCACTGTGCCGGGCTCGATGTGTCGAGCCTGACCGCTTCCCTGACATCAAACCATAAAGATAGTCTGATAACTCCTGCAAGAACGCCTTCGACATATTTCCAGCCAAAATTGATTCCGCATTCTTGAGATTTGAGGTATCGGCGGCTTTTTCATCTACTAGAACAGCAGGTGTTCTCTAAAAATAGCCTTCTATTTTACCCAAATATTATCAAAAATAGTAGTTTTTTTACCTGAGCTCGTCCGTTCCAGCCTGTCATAGGAAGAGCATCGAGGACTATTGCTTTAGGTAATCTCAAATGCGATATGTGTGGTGTGAATCCTCTGCGAGTGGCGGACAGCGGTTGCAGAAGAAGCTGCCTTTGATTCCGGTTAGACTGACAGAAGGAGAGGTATAATGTAGTACAAAATATGATCAATGTCTGCATCTGAAATTCACTTGCTTCGAACTAAAAGTGAAAATGCGAACAGGCAATATTACCGTCAAAGTTCCGCGGCAAAATAGGAGAAAAGTGGTTTAGGAGTGATAACTAGAGTGATAACTAGAGTGATAACTTAGATATCTTCAACTTTTACAAACTTACTGCACCAAAAATATGCAGTACTAGCTGGCTTACCCGGCTCCGCCGTATGTTCCGAATAGAAAATTCCATTTCTCAACCGATCCGGACCAAACTTGGCACACATACACTTCGGGCCCCGGCGGGTGTCATAGGCTACTTTTCGTCATCGATCGATATCGATTTTATCGATTTTTTGCAAAATTTGAGCTACGCGGCTGGGAGTTGGCACAGGGGGGTAATCGAGCATGCTGATCACCCCCGTGGGGGGAGCCTATGACACCCGCCGGGGCCCGAAGTGTATGTGTGCCAAGTTTGGTCCCGATCGGTTCAGAAATGGAATTTTCCATTCGGAACATACGTACACACAGACATACAGACATACAGACAAACAGACATTCAGCTTTATATATAAGATAGCAAGAGAGGTGAGGATAATGAAGCTAACAATGATAATCTGTTACATTAGAAAGTTTCTTCATGAAACTCTAGGAAAAGTGGACGGCATTCTGCTGCATGTAGAAAGTAGAAATGTAGGCGTTTAACGTAGCTATGATGTATCTTTCCATGGCTGCGACTATACAGTCTTATATATTAAAGTAATGCGCGGAAAAGCTTATGTAGTAGTAGGGCAAAAAAGTCCACAAAAATTCCAGTAAGTTATAATTTCTGACTTCTTATTCTTTAGAATCATCTTATAGATTTATTTGAGAGAGAAATTCGTATAACATGAAAAACCCTCTAACAAAAAAGACTACTTACATTACAATTAGACAGGAATGCTACTATATCACAAGCAAAGAGGAACCCTAAGCAACCGTGACTATGTCAATGTTTCTTGCAGAGTTTCCGTGACTCAACCTCATTAAACTAAAGAATTTGCAATTTATTTTTTAAGGTCATCCATTTTGAAGAAAAATGCCCCAAGAATAATCATTGAGTGTTTGCTGAAGACAGGGAAAAGTTGGACCGAATTAGGAACTGTAGTTTCGCAGCTTATAGAAAGAAATTCTCAGAACTACTATAGGTGGCGCGTTTTCTGCAGTAATAGGCTCTGAGAATCTAGCGTTTCGTAAAGCCGAAACATCGCTTAATAGCATTTGTTGATATTTGTACCTTCGGTTAAAAGTAGGGTGCGCTAAGCACCGCAAAATAATTTGTGCTCCTACATAAATCGCGTGAGCGAAAATTAGAAGAAAATTACAAAATTGAACAAAGTTAATTTATCTTGCACAGAGCTAAGTCACATTGAGAGAGGGAAACTGACACTGGGTTGTTTGTTGGAAATCTAGAAAAAAACCCGCCGATGGCTAAACAATAATAAAAGGATGAAAATCTATATACGGCCAACAAAGTTTGCAAAGAAATCAATTTTTTTATTTCGGCTGGATTAGTTTATCCTCCTAAGACGTCTATGAATGCATCGATAAGTTCTAAGGTCAGCAAAAACTGGTTTTTCTAAAGGATTAGAAAGGATTAAATGTTGAAGTTCATAAATTGCAACAATGGTGGAGTGACAGCGAAGAAAAACGCAAACTTGAGAAATTCAAGGGAAATGACTCAATACATGAAACAGCATCACGTGGAACGGTTTGTATAATTTTATGCGCGATCACATAAAGGACGAGGTCACCTTCACTTGCGAAAGCTAACGGTGCGGTGATCATGCCAATTATTTGAGATGTATAAAACATAAATTCAGCTGTTCCGAGAATATCTGGTTCTATTAGGTTGATGCATAATTCCTGGACCAAGATAGGTACTGATCGCAATAACTCGAGATAATCCTACATCCCAAGTAGGATTCGATATATCATTAGATAGAGCATATCTAGCTCTACAAAATAGTGCTCAAATATCTACACCAGCTTTGATCCACGCGAAGTTTTGAGCTGAAAACTGAAAAAAACCATGCGTCCGAAAACCTTAAGACCAATCAAAATTGTAACTTCGTTCAAAAGCTCCTACAAAATTTCTTTCTTGCTCACGCGTAGGCATTCCACGTAAGACTCTATCTTTGAAGTTGCTGTATTTTTTTTCTCAGCTAAACGATGACAAAACGGAGTTTTTCATGTTTTTGCCAAATTAGTGCTGAGATATTCTAGCACTAACAGTTGTATAGTACATGCCATTAGTGAAACTTTACATTTTCAGCCTTCTAGAACAGCTAGTCCACGAGAAATGACGGATCTAGCTCTCTTCGTCCGAATTATTCTTGCCTAGTTGCCAAAAATTCGATATTTCTCGTAAACCAGCTGCTGTAAAGAGCTGAAAATTCACAATCACGCTTCTAAGGTCCTATAGTATACAACAACTGTCAGCGTTAGGATATCTCAGCATTGTTTTGGAAAAAACATGAAAAACTTCGTTTTCTCAGTTTCTAGCTGAGAGAAAAATACAGCAACTGCATAGAGGAATGTTTATACGAAATGACAATGCATGAGCAAGTTAGGAATTTCGAAGGACTTTTCCGAACTGACTTTCAATTTTTTCTTGGATTTTGTGGACCTTGGATCATTTTCGTTTTTGGCTTCAATCTTCGCTTGGATCAAAGCTGCTGCAAAACTATAGTACTATCTTGTAGAACTAGGTTTGCTCTATCTAATGATGTATCGAATCCTATTTGAGATATAGGATTATTGCGGATTATTGCGGTCTGTACCTATTTTGGAGCAGGAATTATGCATCAACCTAATAGAATTGCACTTAGATTATTCCCAGTTAGTATTGAAATAAACTTCTCTTCTTAATTTGAAGGCTCGAAATGGAAAGCAAAACTAATGAGCTAGATCGTTTTACGCAAACAGTGAAAGTCAGATAACACACGTTGAAAGTAAAAGGAAATCAGAACTGCTACCTGGTCTAAGCGCCGGGTGTCAGAAATTGATGAAGAAAGAACAATAAAGGGCAAGCAAGAGTTGTCACTGAACGGATAAGAACTTCGATCGTTGTCAGTGAAAGCGAAGTTCCACTATCACGAACGCTATCTGAACCTATTCCAGTCGTGAAGGAATTTGGAGGAGTACTGGGGTGCAAACTATTGTTGACAAGCAATCGTTCATCGTGCAAACCGCACACACTGTTCGTACATTTCTGCTACTCGGAATGCCATAGGACTGTTATGTAAACAACAATGTTCCTAATTAAGAGTGCAAGAACTCGTTCCAGGATCATAAGGCATGATTAAGGTCATGGTCGAGAATTCAGTTTGAGAATTCAGGAATTTGCGCAGCTTCTGAAGCAAACTTCCACTGACTGGTTGAATAGCTCAAATAATTTTGACGTACTTCTCGAAAGTCCTTCGCAATTTCAGAAGGTTCATTTCAGAATATACATCCGCATAATGTAGAAGGGTTTGAGCTATAATGTTTATCATTAGCTCAACAAAGAAACTGGAAAGCACGTTTCATCATTTACCATTGATATTATGCTTTACCGAGCAACACGGCTCAGATTTTCTTCCTATATGGCCAAGTAATAGCAATGATTTCGAAAGGTCTCTGGTCAAAAATTTAGCACAATCAATACTGAGCGGTAGAATACCGTAAGGTGCGCCCAAGATAAGATATAAGATTTGAGTATGTAAAAAAAACTTATCTAAGATGTTGCGCCTTTTCCGAAAGCTTATAATAGCCTGACGTTTTGATGGACAAAATGGTAATTTATACTTCTGAATTACCATGGACCTTGTATATTTTGCATTACCAGAAAATGTTCACGGTACCATTGGTAACAGCATTTCAAGCACGAATATATCTATCTTTGAAGTCAAGATCGAGTGAAAAAATTCTTTACATTTCAACAAAATATCTGTAGCTTCTCCTTGAAAGCAGCTCAGAATTCTGATGTGTGGCATATCATGCTGATAGCAGAACAGAATATGGATAAGCGGAGCATAGATATCAAAGATAGACCTGTACTTTCGGTAACCAGTTTAACTGAAATGTTCCTGCTTTTCTGAATTTCATTAAAATTTTTTTTGAAAAACTGGAAATTTTTGGGATTTAATGATTTTCGAGAAGTGTAGCAGGAAGATACAGACTTGTGGTCTGACAATGAGTTACATTCTAGAGATGAAAGTTGCCTAACTGCTTAAACCCAAGAAACCTTGTTTTAGCATTTATAGAACGAAAATGAAAAGGCTGACATATGTTCGCAAAAAATTTGTTCACATATGTTGGTGATATTTTAGCATCTATGATTTTGGTGACAATATCTCAATGGTTAATGAGGAGTTTCACTTTCAAAGAAAGCGAAAACTTTCCTACGAGTTTCACTGAGCATAGATTCTTCAACCTAAGAATAGTGAAGCTGTAAAGCGTGGACCGAAGACAGCTTCAGAACTTTGACAATCCGACGTAAACAGAATACGAAGAAGCATCCGTTTCCACCTGACATTTCTTAAATACTATCAGGTGCTAGCGCAGAGCGCATATTTCATCTTTTCTTTGAAAGAGACACCTCAAAATCTTTTTGCCAAGATCGGCAAGTCTTGCATGACTTTGACATTGTATCCCGATTTCACAAATCATTAAACTTGTTGAAAGCTCATTTGAAGATTTATGTGTGACCATCAAAGACGACTACAAAAAAATCTTCCCGTCTTTCAAATCATACAAAGCGTTTTGAGAAAGTGAGTGTGTATTTTATTGCAAGCGTAATATTACGAAAAAAGTCTGGCAAAAGGTGCAAAGAAAAATAAGTTACAGCTATAGCAGGAAGCAGATTTATGGAAGGTATTGTCTTCTCTGCTTTGATTCATATTTTCTTTGAACAAACTGATTGAAAGAATATTGCAGGCTTTTGTGGCATCTCATGAATACGGTCAAGTAAATGAGACTGAAAGAGTAATTCCGAACCAAGAAACA